CCATTTGAGCATGTCATGATGTGGACACTTCCTCAACAATTCATTGAATCTTTCCCATGCCTCATGGAACGTTTCCCCATCCCCGTGTGAAAACTCTCGAATTGAGGTTCTCATGGCATTAGTCTTAGAAACCGGATAGTGCTTCTTCAAGAACTCTTGTTGCATTTCTGCCCATGAAGTTATTGAAAAAGGCATAAGATTGTTAAACCAATATTTTGCCTTATCTTTAAGGGTGAATGGAAAAAATTTAAGCCTTAAGACCTCTTCCGACATGTCCGTGTATCTCACGGTGGAACATACTTCAAGAAACTCAGCCAAATGTTTGTAAGGTTCTTCACTTGGAAGTCCATGATAGTTAGAAATCATTTGAATGGTTTATGGTTTGATCTCATAGTGGTGTGCTCTAAATGGCAGCAATTGAATGCATGTGGGTACATTGTATTCATTAGGCACATAGTGATCTCTTAAAGCAAGGGGAGGATTAGCAATTGGATGTACAACATGGGCACCTTGATTGCCTTGAATGATGGGAGGTGGTGGAGCATAGATTGGCCTTGGCATTCCCAGTGGATCAGCCTTGTTGTTGTGGTGGGTGAATGAATGGCCTCGGCATGCCTAATGGTACTTGCATGTTATCATAATGCACATTTGGGTGGAGGATGCCTTGTTGGTCTATGTGACCAAAGTCCTCCACATGGTCCTCATTATGTCATTCTATTGATGAAATGGATTGACTAGAATTTCCTCTTCCCTTAGGGTTTCGAACAACTGATTCAAGATGAAAATTTAGAGGGACAAGAGTAAGTTTCAATGATCTATGACCATGCATGCACAACAAAACACAATAAGCAACAAGCAATGAACAAGCACTTCACATTCGCAACAAATCAACAATCAACAAACTTCCTCCACATACAATGTTCCCATACTCCTATGCTATCAACAATATGCAAAGAAAAGTAAATTGCCTCCACATGGGCTCACGATTTATCTAAGAATTGAAATACAAGCCTCTACGCGGGCCGACGATTTAATTAGAGATTGAGTTAAGAAAGAGCTCACAAAGGGTCCTTTAGCACTTCAATTCAATTTCTAAGTTTAGCCTTGCAAATTTTTTAGATTTTAGTTTTTTCCTTAATTTTGCTTAGCTCCTCGCTTGAAATACTCCTTTGCTTACCTTCTAACTCAATGCACCTAGTCAAACAAGAACCAACACAATAAGTAACCAAAATGAAAATGAAAACAAAGTGAAGACACGATCAAAAGAGTACTAATTCCTAATTGATTCCACAAATACAACGTTACCTTCAATCAATCCCCGGCAACGGTGCCAAAAACTTGGTGTTGTGCCATCCCAAACCGAAAGTTTATGCACCAAAATATAATGGTGTAGAGCTATAATGAATGTGGCCAAGTTTTACATTTAGAAATTGCCACTACTACCTTTCACTAAAAATATAGTTAGGGCAAGTAGGGATCGTCCCAAGGGATTAGTAGGTCGTACTAGGTTGTGGAATCGAGATTAGGGTTAGTAAGTCAAGTGATCAAAGAATTGGTTGGTGGTTGAATTACACTAAGATGCAATTTAAACTAAAGTAGGCAATTAAATATAATGGAGAGAAAATAAGAGAGAGATCTTGGGGTTTTGAGATCACCACTAAGCATAGTTTTTCTACACCCTTAATGAATGATTAATGAGGGGGAAAACATGTATTGCAACATAGTATGTGTGTGTGGTTGTTTCTACAAGCATGGATGATAAATTAAGCATATATTGTCTAAGCAACATGGTGGATAACACAATATATCAAACTAAACCATTAATCCTTTCTTTAAGCTCACAATCCAAACACATCACAAGGTTAGAGATATGTACTACTTGCTTTCATAAGTATGGAACATCAAACAACAAGTATGGATTATTCTCCCATTTAACACCTAAACTACAACTACACTACAATTAAGCACATTCTGTAAAAAGGTGCATGCTGAAAAATCAACACCACGAACTAGCCAAGACAACGTGACATGTTAAAAAGTCAAAGAACCTCAGCATAGAAACCCTATCATCGTACCAGTGTCACCAAACCTTGAGGACCTGACCCTCAAGTCACTCAACCTCAAGGGCCTAACCCTCGAGTCACTTAAGCCCTAGCATTGCACCAGGTCACCAAACCTCGAGACACGACCCTTAAATCACTCAAACCCTGGCATCGCACCAGGTCACTAAACCTCGAGGGCCTAATGCTAGAGTCATTCAAGCCCTTGCATCGCATTGGGTCACCAAACCTCGAGGACATGACCCTCGAGTCACTTAAATCTTGGCATCGCACCAAGCCGCTAAACCTTAAAGGTCGAACCCTCGAGTCTCTCAAACCCTGACATCGCATCAGGTCACTAAAACTTGAAAGCCTGACCTTTGAGTCACTCAAATCCTGGCATTGCACTAGGTCACTAAATCTCGAAGGCCTGACCCTTGAGTTACTCAAACCCTGGCCTTGAAAGCCTGACCCTCAAGTCCCAACATGATAGGAAGTGGACCTAAACTATATACGTTGAGGCAAGTCAAACCACACACGTCTAAGCTTTGTTATTATTCTAAATGGGACATTATGTTCCTTATCAATCTAGCCATTTCTAGTCACGCGATACACATGATGTTAGTAAATCCAAAAGAAGGCAATGCTCCACCATTACATTTGAAATATCTATACACCTCACTTTCCACCGCTACGTTTGAAACATCTATTGACCTCACTTTCCGCTGGAATATAGTGGGCACTTTCTGCTCTACTTACCAAAGCATAGAAAATTTTATAATTTTCCTATTTTTCAAAATGAGGGGAGGGTTTAAGCATTGGTGTAGGCAAAACTGTGCGTGATTACTTTCTTATTAAATAAATTAAAAATTTTGTTCTATTTGCTCACATAATAAACCAATGGCTAATTTAATTATTTTCTTCTCATTATCTTAACTTTACTGTTCATATTATCATTTACTCCTTGATTACATATAAATTATCCTTTTTCTGGTAGCATAGCTCGGCATGCAATTAATGTATTGTTTTTAAAATTATTTTCAAAAAATAAAAAATTTTAAAAAAAATTGTAAGTTTTGATTTAAGTTTAAATATGTATATTATCAAGTTGAGAATTTTTTAAAAATTTGAAGATAATTATAGAAGGATAGCATTTATGTTGAATCAAGTAATTAATTTGGGATGTCACAAAAAGAAAGAGAGACCACTCATGTGGTACAGAGGACTACTAGTTACATAGGATTGAGGGACCGAGGAAATTCAGAAATTTGTACAAAAATTTGTTTTGTTACTAGTTTCCGGGAATTAGTTTTTTAAAAACTCGGTCAAAAAGAAAAAGAAATTGGGTCTTTAAAAATTAAGTCAACAAAAAAAAAATTAAGTCTGCTTGGTTTGTAATTCTTAAAACAGTTCTCAAAATATAAAATTAATTTTAGATAAATATAAAAGAAAATTATCCGAAAATAAGCTTTTTTATAAATGAGTTTTCGGAAATAATTTAGAAAATTAAACCAAGAAAAGTTTTGTAAAGTTTTCTGATTCTTAGTTCTCTGAAAACATAAAAAAAAAAAAAAAAAATTCTGAGTGACAAACTAAACAGACCCTTTTATTTTCGGAGAACTATCTTGTAATTTTCGGTTTTGTGAATTTTGAAACTATTTTTTGGATGGTAAATATTTTTTTATTTTCATTCTATTTATGTCCCTCCTTATGCTTCGTTCGGTAGGAAAGAATCCTTAGATGGAAGGAAGAGAAGATATGATGGATGAGACATCCCTAGAAAATAGATAGATTGTGTCATTAATTATTTTTGTTCGGTTGGATAAAAGAGAAGAGAATAAACTCACAATTTATCGTTCATTAGGTGATGAGGAAAGAAAGATTTTAATTTAAGATAGTAATAATTTATTGTATTTATATAATTTAGGATAATAGTATTTAAAAACTTCTATAATATTCACAATTGTCTTCCCTACTCTCTTCCTGAGAAACCGTTCAAAAGAACCAAGGGTTACTTTGAATCCACAAAGTAATGTAACTTTGAATCTAGAGAGTTCAAAAAATATTTATAAATAAGTACTCCAACAGCATAAGAAACCCTAAGAATATAGGGAAACTACCAGTATAAGAAAACCGCTCAAAATCAAGTTTTCTCCAAAAATTCTACAAAAATAAATAAGAAAACTAATTGCTAAAAACTACTAATGCCCAAAAAAAAAAAAAAAAACAAGCAATTCGAATCCGTTTAAACTTCTGACAAAAATTTTAAAATATTCACAATTGGGAAAACACAAATCCCTAACCTAATTGATTGAATTCGGACAAAATGTGCCCTACTTTAGCTGTTAAGTTGCGCTTAATTTGCACGGATTAATCACTTATTAAATTAAGTATTTTTTATTATGCAATTTGAATGTCACTCAAAATGGTATGCTAAATGCTGAAAATTAAAAAATTATCAAAAAATATTTAAGTTTTAATTACCACTTAAAAACTTCCGCACTTAAAATTCAGTCCCTTAGGATGTTTCCTATCAAACTATGTTCTTTTCAAGTCAAAATAGATTCGTCGAAATTATTCTGAAGAAATATATAAGCCTGTTCGTCTAACCTTTTGACAGTCCAAACAGGTTCCAAAATAACTAAAGAAATAAATTTTCTTATTATCCTTTTCCTCCTTGCCTCTATGTAAATCCAACAAAAGAAATTTTACTTCCTATCTTCCCTCCTCACCGCTTTTTTTCTTCCTCATTGAAGACATGCTGTGCTTGCTGTCAAAGGCTCAGATTCCAATTCCCATTCCATTTTCTCAAATTTAAAACAAAATCACATAAAATTGGCTTGATAATCTAGGTCGTGTAATCTGCAAGTGACAACTCTTCGATTTCTTTATCTTTGCTTTTTCCTCTTTTTATATGCACCACTTGATTTCCGAAAAATTTGTAGGGTATATGCCCATCTTTTAGAAATACCTCCCAAGTAATCAATTCTTATGCTTCTCCTTTTCACCACTTAACCTTCTCATCTTTTTCTTTCCTTTTCCATAGAACCAACCAGACTCCTATAACTTCCCAGTTCACATTTCACAGTTCTCTCTCAATTCTGGTAAAGAGAGAGAGTTTATAATAAGAGAGAGAGAGAGAGAGAGAGAGATGGAGGGAATACAGCACAAGACAGTGAGTGTGAATGGCATAAACATGCACGTAGCAGAAATGGGCCAAGGCCCAGTGGTCCTGTTCCTCCATGGCTTCCCTGAACTCTGGTACACATGGAGACACCAGATCCTCTACATGGCGGCCCACGGTTACCGGGCAGTGGCTCCGGACCTCCGCGGCCATGGCGACACCACCGGGGACACCACCACCTCCGCCGCCAGCTACACCACCCTACAAATCGTCGGGGATCTCATTGCCCTCCTGGACGCCGAGGCACCCGACCAGAGCCAGGTGTTTGTGGTGGGCCATGATTGGGGTGCAATCATAGCTTGGTGTCTGTGTTTGTACAGACCTGACAGAGTGAAGGCATTGGTGAATATGAGTGTTGTGTTCACACCTAGAAGCCCCAAGAGAAAGCCCATTGAGTCCTTGCGTGCCTTCTATGGCAATGACTACTACATCTGCAGATTTCAGGTTCTCTTTCTATCTCATATTCTCATGCATATACTAGTAATATATTATCGAGTCAATTGATAACAAAAACTGATCTATAAATTTATTTAGGGATAATTACATATAAATGGAGTCAAAGTTTCATATTTCTCTAAAATGGATTGCTGAGGTGGCACATAATTTTTTACTGTTTAGAAAATTATGGTGCCTAAAATGCCCTTCCCTAACAAAAAAGTAGTACCTTCAGTTCAAAAAAGTAGTACCTTCGGAGAAAAAGTAGTACCTTCGCGGGTGTTTAAAAAATATGGTACCTGGACGCCAAAAAGTAGTACCTTCAGTTCAAAAAAGTAGTACCTTTCAAGAAAAAGTAGTACCTTCGCGGAAGGGTATTTTAGGCACCACAATTTCTAAACAGTAAAAAATCATGTGCCACCTCAGCAATCCATTTTAGAGAAATATGGAACTTTGACTCAGCCTCTAAGTAAATATGAAACTTTAACTCCATTTATATGTAATTTTTCCATTTATTTATATATATATATATATATATATATATATAGATATAAATAAATTTGTAGATCAGTTTTTGTTATCAATTGACTTGATAATCATTAATATAAATACCTGTTTTTCATCTTCTACTGGCAAAAATTTTGTTGGACATTATATATTAAAAATATTGATATATGTGCACATATTTTACGTTTTTTTTTTTAAATTAATTATTTAAGTTTGAATTGTTGGAAATCATGAAACTTGTAGTCATTTGGTAATTTTGCAGAAATAAGGATCTTAGTGAAGTATGAATAAATTATTTCTGCAACTATGGAACTGCTTTTTTAATATAATTTGATTGTGTATTGTCGCTATCTTCTACATTACCATGTACCAAATCAAATAATTCAATTTTAGTCACATGGCATGGATTGTCCTATGCACCTAATTCTCATCTTATTTACCTAATTCTCATCTTATTTTGTTGCTGCTTTTATGCATTCAATCAATTATTTTTCGGGATTCTAATATGATCTATTCAACGAGTTGTCTAAGATTGCCAAGTGGAAAATTTAGTATTTAATCAATTTCATAAGACCAAAATTCGTTAAAAAGGGATTTCGATTTAATGTTTGACTTCGAATTTAAAAAAATATATATATATATATATTTTTAACCTAAATTTCAAAATATATCAAGTATGGATAAAAAGATCCATCATGGATCCAAATTGAATCCGAATATGAGTGAACATGATATGTATTGGAGATTAAACTCAAATCAAGCATTTTTATTATTATTTTTTTTAATCAGGATCTTGTAATCGTAGTAGTAGAATATCGATCTGGGCACGGGTTTACTTGAATTCCTTCCATTTTAATGCTTTGTTTGGTTGATGGAGTCTTCTCACAACTTGTACCATACTTTATAGATTTATGAAATCAAGGTATAATTCAACTGTTCTTATGTATTACCTAGCATGATATATCTCTAAATATCTGGTGACCAAACTTTGAATGACATAACCTTCCGAAACAAGAAAAAGAAAATCTGTGAATGACATAAATCAATGGACATTAGCGAGATGGTACGATCTCTTCTCTCCAAAGGTAAGGTTGAGTGTTCGAGTCCTGTCATGGACAATATCATGGGGTGTGTCATTCGGTGTGAATGACTTAACAGTCCATCTGAAACATAGATTGTTTAATTAGTTAATTAATAATGTTTCAGGAACCAGGAGAAATAGGAGCAGAATTTGCCCAGATTGGTACAAAAAGAGTTCTGGAGAATTTTCTGACATACCGCAATCCGGGCCCGCTTTATATACCTAAGGGTAAAGGGTTTGGAGGTTCATCTGATGGTCCAATTGTCTTGCCCTCTTGGTTGTCAGAAGAAGATGTTGATTATTATGCTACCAAATATGAAAAGAGTGGCTTCACTGGAGGAGTGAATTACTACAGAGCTTTGGACCTGTAAGTTATTAGCTTCCAAATTAACTTTTATTTCATGTGAGTGTAGTGATAGCGCAATCATGATGATATATATCTATATATATATATATATATTCCATCACCATTCTTTGCTTGAAAAAATTGCAAAATTCAGTATTGTTTACTGGCTGATTTTGTTGTATTCTTATTATTTTTATTACTTGCCTAAAGAAAAGGAAAAAAAAAATGTCCATCAATATAGTAAATTTTTATTAAATATTTAAGATATCTGATTTCTTTTGATGTAGTTTGTCAAACTTATCTTCATTTATATTATGCAGTCTTTGTGTGTGTGTGAGGGAGGGGAGGGAATTAAGAATGCTCTCAACTTACTAAGCAGAACAATGGTGGTTGATTGTTTGAAATGAGAATGTGGATAGGCTTTGGCCTGGATAAGGCACTATCCCTAATTGGAGCTCGGATCCTCTGTTGTGTAAAGCATCATGCTGTAGGATTTTTCAACACGATTAAACATGTTTCCAACAAGTTAAATCTACCTATTTCAGCCAGATTTAATCTGTTAAAAAATAGAATTATTGTGCTGAAACGGAATAAACATGTCAAAAGGTAGAAGTAAATTTGCTGAAAAACATAATTAATGTGTTCGACAAATTACAGCACCACTGCAGCAGATGATCCGAACGTATTGAAATACATCACCACTACAACAGATGATCCGAACGCCCCAAATTGACATCAATAAGGTCAATTTTTTGGTTCTTGGTCCATTCCCATGTAATATTCCATAAAATCAGAAACTACAATAATGACAACCACTATTTGAGTTTAAGCATGATACATTATTGTTTTTCTTTGTCGCAGAAACTGGGAACTAAATGCACCATGGACTGGGGCTCAAGTAAAAGTACCAGTGATGTTTATCGTGGGTGACCTTGACCTGACCTATAATTCCCCAGGCACTAAGGACTATATACACAAAGGTCAGTTCAAGAAAGATGTTCCCTTTTTGCAGGATGTAGTTGTAATGGAAGGGGTGGGACATTTTATCCAAGAAGAAAAGCCTGAAGAGATCAACAAACACATCTATGATTTCATCCGCAAATTTTCCTAGACACTACGTTACTGTGTGTTTGTTTATGTGTAGCTATTATGTGTGAGGGGCGTGTGCGATTCTTGGAGTGTTACATGGGAATGGACCAAGCCTGAAGAGACCAGCAAACACATCTATGATTTCATCCAGAAATTTTCAGCCTGTTGAACTTGTTTGTCCTAAAGAGTACATACTGTGTGTGTGTTTTTATGCGTAGCTATTATGTGTGAGGGGCGTGCGCGATTCTTGGACAAGTTCTTGCAAGTGACATTAATATTATTAATGTTTGTGTATAATGGTAATATGTATTTGTGTTGGCTTGTCTTTATCACTTATAACTTTCTTCGCCTTTTGGTTAGAATCAAATGCTTCTTGTCTATAATGTGCTAATCCAGAAGGAGATGCAAAGTAGATGTGGACTTGGTGATTATAATGTGGGTCACATAATGCTTAACTTGCACATCATGTTTTTACACTCTGCAGTCTGCATGATAGAATTGCATGTTTAGTGCCCATTGATCTCTTTTATTAGCAAGTTCGATGATTTAATTTTGTTTCTATTTTCCTTTATCATCTCTCCTGAGAAATAAACTATTGTTTGTGTGCCATAAAAACTGAAAATGTAGGCCGAGAAAACAAACTTCTTATCCATGCCATTTGCTAGTGAGAGTTGAGAGAGAGTTTTGATCACTCTTGTGTCTACGGGTGTAACTTGGGCGGACCTACTTTGCCCAACCCAAAAATTTTGAAATTTGGACTTTGAAATTCACAAATTGGGCTCAAATCGAGTTGGGTTTGGGTAACCAAGCCCAACCGAAAACCCAAATTATTATTATTATTATTTTTTAACTTTCAAATTTGTTTTTTTTTTTTTTTTTTTTTTTTTAAATCCAAATTAAATTTATTACAAAGCCAAAGAGGTCCTGGGAATGTATGGCATTCCTGGCTTCTAAGAGGCTGCATCTTGTTGCCTTTTAGTTTTTGATATATATTTTACAAATTATAGCGTGAATGAAAATGATCAGAGAACCATTTTTTTTTTTCGTTCATCCGAGAACCATTTTAACTCCTGTACAATTCTAAAACAAAATTTTAATTCTTTTGTGTTCCGCATAAAAGTTCACATGATATATAGATGTCTTTGCAATGCTAAAGAAATTCAAAGAGAAAAAATGGCAGTATCAATGAATTGAAAACTAAATTTTTCTGGAAAAAAATTTGATTTGGAAACCAAAAATTTTCGCATATTTGTTTGAAAAAATAAAATTAAAATAAGATAAGTTTTATTTTTGTTGTATTAATGACATAAAATTAGAATTACAAGCATACAAAAATTAATAATTGAATAATTAAGTTATAATACCAACGGCCGTAAAAAAAAAAAAATAAATAAATTATATTTTCGAACAATGATGTAATTTGCATATTTAAAAATAATAATACTAATAATAAACGAGTTGAATAGATCAACCCGTCCAGTCCCAAAAAATTTGGATTTGGGTTACTTGAAAGTCCATATCTAGGATGACATGGTCCAACCCAACTCGACTTCGGATTGAATTTGAATTGGGACTAAATTGAGTTGGGACTGAATTAGGTCGTGCCCAACTTACACCCCTGCTTGTGCCACCATAGTTACCACTTCTTTATAGGCCAAGGACCTTACAATGAATGCTTATAATATTTACAAGTGTCAAATTTATAGGAAATAAATAAATAAAAGAATAAAGAAAAAGGTTATTGTAGAGGTTGTATATACATTTCCAGAGTGTCACTGGGAACACTATAAAAATGTAGAGAACTCTAAATCGTTCATTGTCATATAAAACAATGGGCTGGGTAACGCATATGCCTAGCCCAATACTGTACACTCTTATACATATAGTTTATAAATTGATGATTGAATTTCCCAACAAAATAAAAAAAATTAAAAATAACAATAATAATATAAAAAGCTAAAAACAAAATATTTTATATATTGGATTACTTATTATCTAGAAGTCAAATTTGGGCTAAAAATAAAAAGAGGAAAAGAATTAATGAATACAAGGATATAAAAAGAAAAATTTTAATTATGAGATGTGTAGAAATACTTGCTTGTTCTTTGCCTCTTGTGTGAATCTCATAGTCATTTTAAAGAAAAAAGAAAACTATAAATAAAATAATAATAAAAGAGGGGAAAAGAAATAATAAGTTTAGCGTTCTTTTAAAAACTTACTCATTCAAGTGGTGAATTACAAGTCTCAAGTTTGTGCTAAGTTTAGGATTCATTGTTTTACAAGTAAATTGTTTTGAAAACGTAACCATTCAAGTGGTTTTGGCCAATTAATCGTCTCACGCAATCTCAGGGAATCATTAAAAAAAATAAATAAATAAAAAATGAATAGAACAAACTCATTTGATTATGGGACAGTTTGTGATAAATTTAGTATTATTTATTTTAGAAGGATGCTTTTTGAAATGGAATCATGTCATTACAAGTCTTATGTAATAAAAAAAAAAAAAAAAAATTGACATATTTGATTGCGTGACAGTTTGTGATAAGTTTTAACATTTTTTATTTTTGAGAATCGGACCTAAATATTGTTTTTAAATATTTTCTTTTTCAGGTAAAATATTTTTTATTTTTACTTTATTGGTGTTTGGCAAAGGTCTAAATCAAGGTTGAAGTCGAGTTCATCGAGCGGGACATGTAAAATAACTTTTCGAAAATTTATAAATAAATTATTTTTGTTAAATTTTAATATTTTTTTTGTTCATAAATACTTTACGACAACTAAATTAACATAAAAAAATAAAAAAATATTTTACTTCCAAACAAATAGTGAGTTCTGACGAATTACATGTCTCATGTAATAAAATTAAAAAATTATTATTATTATTATTATAATAATGAATGAAATTGACATATTTAATTGTTTTGAGAGCTTGTTACACCACCATTTAATAATTTTTCTGTGCACTATAAAAGCTTCAAGCAACCAACCAACCCAAGCAAGCACACTTCCCACTTCACATTCAGTCATTCAACTTATTATAGTAGAGAGAGAAAGTAGAGAGAGAGGGATGGAGGGAATACAGTACAAGACAGTGAGCGTGAATGGCATAAACATGCACGTAGCAGAAGTGGGCCAAGGCCCAGTGGTCCTATTCCTCCATGGCTTCCCTGAACTCTGGTACACATGGAGACACCAGATCCTCTACATGGCGGCCCACGGCTACCGGGCTGTGGCTCCAGACCTCCGCGGCTATGGCGACACCACCAGCGCCACCACTTCCGCCACCGGCTACACCACCCTCCAAGTGGTGGGCGACGTGCTGGCCCTCCTCGACGCCATGGCAGCCGATGAGAAGCAGGTGTTTGTGGTGGGCCATGATTGGGGTGCAGTCATAGCTTGGCACCTTTGTTTGTATAGACCTGAAAGAGTCAAGGGTTTGGTGAATATGAGCATTGCTTTCACTCCTAGGAACCCTAAGAGGAAGCCCATTGAGACCTTTTGTGCTGTCTATGGAGATTACTACATTTGCAGATTTCAGGTTCTCTCTCTGCTGTGTGTGTATATATGTACTGTGTGTGTGTGTGTGAAAACATCTGACTATGAGAACATTAATCTACTGTTATTTGAATTAAATTTCAATTTGAGGGGTTACCCTTTGTTGATTTGATTTAATATTTATACTCTGTATGTTAAATTTATGTATGCCTAATTTTATTGCATATGAGTTTACTAATATCTGTATTATGAAAAGAAGGAATGTAGTCTAGTGGTAAAACCTAGATCCTCTCATGTGCCAAACACTCTATCTATTGCACTACGACATAGATTGTTACACTAACAATTTACATATACCAAGCATTAGGGCATAGAATCCCCTCCATAGGGAGGGATCCAGATTTCTAGTGGTATCTATTCTACTTTCTAAAATGGAAGGTGAGAGAAGTCTCCGAATGAACAAATGGATGTATGAGTTTCTTGCTTAAAAAACCTAAATCCTCTCCCGTGGCTCCTCATCTTGTGTTGTGTCCTGTGCACCATGCAACAACTCACGTTGCTTATGCAAGTGCAACGACTTTTTTATAACTTTTTTATGTATATGTTACATTACGATATAAGATTGTTACACTATCAATCTACATGTACCACAACATCAGGGCATAGAATCCCCTCCACAAGGGAGGGATCCAAATTCCTAGTGGTGTATGATAGAAAGACGGCCAGCTGAAATGGTTGGCTCACTTGAATCCCACTTCAATGCATTCAAAGTGACCCCAGTCATTTTGATTGGCCTTTTAAGTGTGACTAACATGGTTCATCAAACTTATTTCTGTCTATATCTCTCTCTATATATATATTTTTTTGTTTGTAAGTGTGTGTGTGTGTGTGTGTGTTCGTGCGTCGGCAAGAAGTATAATACAGTCTCTCTTAATTGCAGAAACTGGGAACTAACTGGACCATTGACTGGGGCTCAGATCAAAGTACCAGTTATGTTTATCGTGGGTGAGCTTGACCTGACTTATAATTCCCTAGGCACCAAGGAATACATACACAACGGTCAGTTCAAGAAGAATGTGCCCTTTTTGCAGGATGTAATTGTAATGGAATGCGCAGCACATTTTGTCCACGAGGAAAAGCCTGATGAAATCAACACACACATCTACGATTTCATCCGAAATTTTTCATCCTCTTGAACTTGTTTGTTCTACAGAATAATTGATCAATAATAGCTATTATGTGCCCAGGGTGTATGCAGCTCTTGGACAAATAAATAAACAAATAAACATCAATATAATGATAAATCTATGTATCATTTTTCTTGTGTATACATGCATGTTTGATGGGATCAGAACTACGAGTTGAGGATGTGATAGTTAAAACGCAAGTGCCAGCTCATTATTAAAAATCTTCTTTCCTGAGAAACAAACAGGTGTTCTTTGAGCACTCTAAAATTGAAAATGACCAGCCCAAGCAAGAAATTTTCCAAGGTTCAGGCATCACGAACACATTTTTTCAAAGGTCAAGCACATATCCAGTTAATTGCCAACTTCTAAGCCAATGATTTAACCAACCTGTATGAAGAACATTGGAGCAACCATCCCATGCGGTTCGACTATATCCTGTACTTGCTCAATGCATGGGCAAAAGAGATTGAAGGTGACTCCGTGAATCTGTCGAAATTAATCATGGTCCTGAAACCCTAGACACCATAAAATAAAATAAAATAAAACTACCATGTAACCTATTCTATAATCTACTAGACGCTTTTTGTTAGATATATAAACGATAAACAGGCAGACAATTCATAAACTGGGTAATACAATCAAGATGAGCAGAACCTGAAAGATTTTATTTCTAACAGAATGTCACCAACAAGCCGAGTATTCCGGCCAAGAGCAGTGTTAGCAAGGCACTCGTAGCATGCCATAGGTTGTGTCGATTTCAGCTAATAATTATCATCAAATCAGTATTTGATCACTACTTATGACATTCTGAGTTTGAGTAAGTGAGTTGAGTTAGCAGGTGTGTGACTACCCCCAGACTCCCACAGATTCACAAGTGCATATCAATGTTCACCATCAGAGATTCACACGTGCATCTATTTCTTTCCGATTTGGTTTGTATATGAACCCAAATGGTTCGCTCTCTCAGTCGAATCCTGCTGACACTGAATTGTGCTTCCCTGAGATTGATCTTTTTACCTCAGCTCAATGTAAGGAAATAGTAAAGGAAAAGGGAAGGAGCTGCAAAGAGGAATTACATAGGCTGAAAACAAACATCTCGCTGCCAGTCACGCGGAAGACCGGTCACTTCATATGTAGCATGAGCAGCTCTGGTTTTTCGATAAATAGTTTCCACTCATTGCAAAACCTTGCAACAGTTGCCCCGTCCAGAACTCTATGATCAGCACCTATATTTACCTGAGATGAAGAAACCATATCAAAACTTAGACATGGACATAATTCATCTGTTAACCCAAAAGCCCATTACCTGCTAGGAAACACATGACAATTACAAAAACAATGAATTCACTTTTTCATTATTACAGTTAATAGGGTTATTACCACCACTTTCCTCTCATTCTAAGTTACTAGCTCATCTGAACTAATTTCAGATGATTTAGGCTATTTACCCCTCTGTGCACCCTGAACAGATGGGATCACCAATAAATGTTGGCCATTTTTGTTTTGAGATCTTCATGTTGTTTCAAATGCACTCCTTTTCATTGCAAGAAGGTCGCAACAAATGTCTTGGTTTACAGTCGCACACTTCAGGAAAAAGTGTTATGACAATTTTTGTTAGGAAAAAGTGTAGTGTTGGCATACTTACACTCATGACTGACGCAGGATACACATTTCCATCATTCGCAAATTGAGGAACTTTCTGAATTCGGCCAATTGCAATGATAGAAACTTCAGGGATGTTGAGGAGTGGGGAACCAAACTTTCCACCAATAGCTCCAATATTGCTTAAAGTTATAGTTCCACCAGATATATCTTCAGGGCTTAGTTTGTTAGCGAGAGCCAATTGTTGTAACCGTGATAATTCCTTCGTTATCTAAGGACATGAAAAGCAGATATTAGATAACTGCATCACTAGACATAAAAATTGACATTCAAAGAAAGAGGGAGGGGGGACAAAAGAAGCCCATAAAGTACATAGATTAAGAATTTATCAATACTTGGTGTTCACCACAGCAGAAAAAGAAAATAAAAATGTAGGATTGTATCAATCTACTCCCCACTTCCAGAACCACATATTAAATTCCCATGTCAAAATAGCAAATCAAGTAATGTAACCTATTTAGAAAGTGATTCAAAGGAACGAGTTTAAAATATTACTCTCAAATCAATTAAAGAACAGAAAGTGTTCGATTGTTATAGTAGCAGGGTCTAGCTTGTAATATTTTCATTCCTAACCCAAAAAGTTGAAATAAAAGCAACTATATTTTTATTTATAGCTAGGTGAGAAAGGGACATAGAAAATGTTAAAATCTTGATTTTTGGTAAAGATTCTGTCGCATCCTTAAATTATTTCATTAACTACTGAAATTGCATGTTATCAGACAGCTTGGACTGACCTTCAAGAGTTAAGATAACCAAAATTAGCGCAAAAAAAAAAAACAAGCATGTAACATCAGGTTTCACATTAAATCTTTGTCTGAGTTGCAGCCAAAATCTAGGGGCCAATTTTAAAGAGTAGAAATGTCTGCCATGAACTGAGTCATTGGAAACTGAATCAAGTTGTTTAAAATGATTCCGTTAATGTAGAACGATTTCATCAATTTTACATAGCAGTACATTGACAAAATTATGTTTCTTAGAGAAGAACAGAGCATCTTCATCACTTGGGGATTGTGTGTTCAAGGATTTCTAAATGTTGCTTCGGGTCCCAAGCCTTTTAGATTTCTTCAGGCGTGGAATACTCAGCCTGCTGTGTCTCAAATCATTTCTGATGTCTGGAAGAGTAGGGCGAGGGGAAATCCCATTCAGAGACTATTACAGAAGCTTAAACTTACCAAAAAAGCTGTAAAGGATTGGAACATGATGAAGTTTGGTTCTATATTTGAAGTTGTCTGCTCTTCTAGGAAAGCTCTTGAGGACTGTCAAATGGAACTCTCCAGAACTCCTTTCTGTGAGGAAGCGCCAGAAGAGATTTTGAATCAGCTGTCTCAAATGAGTCAGTCTTATTGGCCCAGAAGGCTAGAGTCAGGTGAAACCTCTTCTGGCGCTTCCTCACAGAAAGGAGTTCTAGAGAGTTCCATTTGAGTCAGTCTCATTGTCCGAGAAGGCTAGAGTCAGATGGATTAAGGATCAGGATAGGTGCTCAAAATTTTTCTTCGACAAGATAAGGAACCACAGAGCCACCAGCAATGTCACTGTTCTTGAGGATGAGAATGGTGAGTTCATCAGTAATCCTTCAGGTATTCAAGACATGTTTGTCAAGCATTTTGAGAAGCTATTCTCTTCCAATAACGCCACACAGTTGACAGTACCCCCCTGCTTCTGCAAATTATATCAAGAGAACACTGTTCTCCCGAGTATGGAGGATGCTGCAGGTTTAGATGTTCCAATAACCAGGTTGGAGGTCAAACAAACAGTTTTTGGTATGGGAGCAGATTGAGCACCTGGCCCTAATGGATTCACATCTAGATTTTTTCAACAATATTGGGGCATTGTTGGGGAAGATGTCACTGATGCAATAATTCATTTCTGTGAGAATCCAGACATGAGTAAGGGTCTTAATAGTACTTTCATAACTCTCACTTGTCAAAAAAAAAAAATAGTACTTTCATAACTCTCATTCCAAAGAAGAAAGAGGCTACAAAGGAGGGGGAATTCAGGCCTATCTCTGTGTAATGTAGTTTACAAAATTATTGGCTACAAGATTGAGTTCAGTGCTTAAGAAGATGGTTGGTTTTGAACAGAATGCTTTTATTAAAGGGAGGAAAATTCAAGATAATATCATCCTTGCTGATGAGTTATTGAGAGGTTTTGGTGCTCAGCATGCCAAGCCAACCATTGCCTGGAAAGTAGACATCAGGAAAGCCTATGACTCAGTTCAGTGGCAGCTCCTTTTCCAAATTCTACAGCTCTATGGTTTTGGTTCTAAATGGATCACTTGGATTAAAGAGTGTATAACTACAGTTTGGTTCTCCATTTTGATTAATGGTAGTCCTTATGGATTCTTCCAACCAAGCAGAGGGTTGAGACAGGGATGCCCTTTGTCTCCTTTACTCTTTACCTTGGTAACAAATTACCTTTCAGGCCCAATTCAGGGATGTTTGATTCAGCTGTAAACAATGGGCAATTAGTTTTATCTGATGCTGCCAGAAGAGCTGCTGCTCCTATTTCTCACCAGTTTTTTGCTGATGATCTCTTGGTGGTGGTGAGAGCAAATATGGGCTCTGTAATAACTCTCAAAAGAATTATGAAAGATTTTGAGGAGGTTTCAGGCCTGAGTGTTAGAAGGGCTAAGTCTGAGATATTCTTAATGAGGACTGTGAGGAGACAGTAGACTATAGTGAGAACATTGGGGTGCAAGATTGGCAAACTTCCTTTTACTTACCTTGGGCTTCCCATATCTGATAGAAGGCTGAAGAAAGGTGATTGTAGACCTCAAATTGACAAAGTGATTACTACTACTACTACTACTTGGTCTGGGCTAAAGTTATCATTGGCTGGGAAGATTGAGTTGGTCAGAGCTGCGGTTATTCCATTAGTTCACTACTGGTCTTCTGTGTATACTATTCCTGCTTCTGTGATTAATGTTATTGAGAGAAGGATGAGGAATTTCATTTGCTGACAAAAGGAGCATACCAGGAAGCACCATGGTCTTGGCTGGAAGAGATTAGCTTCTCCAAAAGATGAAGGTGGTTTTGGTATCAGAAGAGTTCTTGACATTGATAGAGCCGCAAAGTGTGCTCTTGCTTGGGACTTCTTGCTGTCCAAGGATTTGGGTGGTTTGGTTTCAAAGATGTTATGCTAGGAATTCTTCCTTTTGGCATGTGGTAGTAAGGATTCTCATTCCACCATATGGAAGAGTATTATAGCAGTGAGAGATACTGTCAAGCAGTGTTGCAGATTCAAAATTGGGGATGGGAACTCAATTAAATTTTTTCTTGATCCTTGATGTGATGGTCAGTTTCTGTCTCAAAGATTCACTTACAGGGTTCTTAGAGGTTTTAGCACTGACAAAGCTATTTTGCTGAGCCATTATATTGGTGGAAACAGCTGGGATGGTGCTGGGTTTCATGAAGATTCTCAAGAAGTCCTACAGTTCATTACAAGGTTCAAAATTCATGGGGGCTCAGATGTCAAGTTATGGAATAATAAACCTTTCTCATTCAAAGCTGCTTGGGAAGCATGTAGGAAGGCCAGACCTGCTGTGCCTTGGGTGGATTTATGCTGGAATGGGGGAAGACCTAGATGGTCAGTTCACACTGTCTTAGTACTCCAGGATGCTATGTTGACTAATACAAATTTGCAGACAAGAGGAATTTATCTGGCTTCAGTTTGCAGTCTCTGCTCTAACCAAGTGGAGAGCCTGGATCATTTGTTTTGGCAGTGTAGGTATACTTCAGAGGTGTGGAATAGTCTAAAGGACTTGTTGAAATGGGATTTGGGCAGAACAAATTCAGTTTTGGAATTGGTTAATCAGCTGGTTCATCAGCTAGGGACAAAGAGTGTTAGAAATAAATTGCTGAAAATGGTTTTTACTGCAACATTGTACTACTTATGGAATGAAAGGAATGGCAGGTTGCATCAAGCTACAAATAGAAGTCCACTGGTGTTACTTGGGAGCATTATATGGGATGTAATGGATATTCTGGGCGTATGCCTCCAGGATATCATTTAGTTTTTTTCATGTCTTTGTGTGTAGCAAGGGCATGTCCTTGCTTTAGTAGAGCTTCTGGTCCTTTTGGACTTTGAGCTTCTGAGGATGCTATCCTCTCTTGTATTGTACTATTGAATACTTATAAAATTTTCCATCATTTAGGAAGGAAAAAAAAAAACCACACACCCAAGTGTTAGAGCAAGAGCTCAATTTTAAGAAAATACTTAGGTTACTAAACGGATCCAAAACGAGTTTGCAAAAATATTTATTCGTGTTTATTATACATGTATAACTACCATAGACTTATATTTGTTATGTAGTTTTTGAATTCACCCTAGACCCAGCCACTCAAGCATTGAAATTATATGCGCTGGTTGCATTAATTTGGGAGTTAACTGCTAAACTGAAAAAAGAAGGCAGAAGAAAAGAAAATGTTATTTGATCTTATAGTACATTTTTTCCTCTCAAAACAACACAACAAAGAAAGGCAGCAAAGTAACTCTATTACATTTTTGCAACTCAATAAAAAGATGATGGAAGTACAGATGGAAGTGTTTTAGCAATTAAAAGAAACACAGAACTAACCTCCAAGAAGGAAAGTGACTGAACCTTCTTTATATTTGGTACAACTAGACCAGATGGAGTAGCCATGGCTATTCCGATATTATGGGAGCCTGCAATAATAAATAAAATTTGGGTCCATAATTTATATTTAGAAAAAAAGAAGATATATATTGTAATTTGATTTTTTAAGAGATTACAGCAGCATACATTGATAAACACAATCTCCAGTTTACATCTATAATTGACACCTAGAATTCCAAACGCTTCTAAATTGACCACAGCAAGTATTATGCAGACACGTCTGGACATCCCATGGAAATTGAATCACTGATTAGGCATTTATAATGTATTCAAGATGAATCCATTGTGTTTTGATTATGATTTTGATGAATCCATTATGCATGAAGCTGCACTATTTTGGGATCATTCGTCTTAGAATTTCTTCCCTAATCTAAGTCACATTCAGCATGAGCAGGAACAAAAGCAGATGCGAGAGCATTAGAATGGCTATGTTTAAGATTTTCTAAGAGTGAGAATGCCTTCCGAGTGTTTGTAGACAGATACACGTCTTCCAATAAATAACACATAAATAAGCAATTCTATAAATTAAATAGATATATTTTCGTTACTACAAGGACATAATAGTATGTAATTAAGTTGCATTAAAGTAAATTTTAAAATATAAAGAACTGAAACGATAGAGCAAATACACTTACGTTTTAAGGATGATGATTGATGAAGGATAATAAATACCGAAGCACAAGATAAGGGTCAAGATGACAGTATTATTAAAAGAATAGGTAATATGTGAATAAAGATGATAAATACACAGAAGTTTTGTGGGCTCTGAGATGAGAGAGATGCAAATCAGCAGAGGTCTTCTCTTTCAACCTCTGTATAGTCATACGCTTCGTTGGAGAATTTGGAGTGTACAGTAGAACCTCTATAGTAAAGCATTTAACCCCTCACGGTGTATATATAGTCACCTTCAAATCACCCAACACCTTAGTTGCTAGAACCAAATTGCACAACTAGAACATAGTGTAATTGCAAAATCCCCTAAAACCCTAGGAATTATATGCAAAGCTGGCCACCATAGATGATGAGAGACTAAGTACAAAACAAACAAAAGGAAGCCACCAGTGAATCAGCTTCTGCTTCTACTTAACTGATTCTCAGCGTAAACAAATTCTCCATGATCTCAACAACACAAAGCGCAGACTAGCAACATACAATTTGCGGATTCATAATGAATCTGCTCTCAATAATTAATGCATTGATTCGCGCTCCAAGCGGGAGAGCAACATACGTGATGAGTTGCATGACTCAGTTCCTAATCTTTGGGTTAAAAGCCTTGTACCTCAGGTCCTCAACCATGCATCTAGGAAGTTCCAATCAAGACCAAAATTCTTATTACTAGACCATAGAATAACATTGAAGCAAGAACTTAAAGAAGAGGCCTACCTAGCTTTATATAACAAATGCATCAGTGACAATGGCAAGTCACCCTTTAGATTAAATCTAGAAGAGATTACAGGGCACAATTCGCACATATATTGAGAGGAAACTACAGCAGAAAAGCAACATGAGTAAGAAACTTCGAAGTCCCGAAACTATGAAAAAAAAATTATAGTGAAAAAAAAGGATTATCTGCACCAGCATAAGTTGAATATGCAAGCATTACACAGCATATTTGAACTGAAATGCTTCCTTCTCAAGTAAAATATTTTCAACGCTGATTAACAGGTTGCTCCAACATCACACCAAATCAGAATAACAATGTCTAAGTTTCAAAATTCTACAGTTCTCTGAGCATGCAGACAGGATAAAAAGCTGAAGTCATGTTACTTTTCAGACACAATTGAGCATGTATAAAACATTCTTTGATAAGAAACTCACATTGAAATTTTCCAATTCAATTTTTAAAAAAACACCACCCAACTCATCATAAGATAAAACACTGTGCAAGACTAATAGCAAAGAATAAGCACATTTGATTGTTTATCTACAATAGCAATTTAAACTGCTTCAGGTTACAAGAGCAATTAACATCAAAATAAATTCCCTCCCCAAAAAAAAAAAGGTAAAAAAATCATACAGAGATATGTCATGATCTTTGTTACTGGCTTACTGCAAATTAGAAGGGGGGGAAAAGGAGCAAAAACCACAACCCCAAACTAGAGAGAAGCAAATACATCATGTACTCACTGCTACAGAATTGTAGTAATTTCTTTAGCACACATTTTGTAATTTATAAAGTCAGTCAATATTCTGATCTTTGATAAGCATTCAATGAGTAAAATTTCGATTTCGTTTACAGAATCTGTTGTGCTTATTATAAACATAGAAACATAGAGTAAATACAAAAATGGGAAAATCAGGATTAAATTTCTGCAAACCTTTAAGGGTGACCTCGTGCAACTCCTCATTGAAGCAACTATTTAGCAATGGATATTTGCTCAGTGCCACTGAAAGTGACTTTATCAAGATTGGAAGGAAAGTGTACTTGACATCTGGATCAGAATTCTCGCTCTGAAAAGATGCTTTAAGCTCCACAAGTGTGTCACAATTTATCTCTTCTACATAATAAAAATGAGGAATTTTAGCAGCCAGGGTCATTGATTTAACCATTGTGCGCTGGAATCCCCTGTGATTGAAGGGCACAGTTAATTTACTTATCATTCCCGACATAATTTCCTAGCATCACAAAATTCAAATAGCATGCTATATAACATTCTATAAGAAGTTCTGAGACTGAGAGTAAACAAAAATAACAAAAAGTTTACAGCTGACAAGCTACTTCAAAATTCAACAAGACAACTATACGTAAATATGGACAACCACATCTCACTTGTAAGGGTAGTTTAGCTGACTTGAAATAGTTTTACCCGAAGTTACAGCTTTTAACTAGCTCCTATGTTATAGGACATTCATGTCCTTAAATGACTTTTAAAGGTGTTGTTAGGTTAATAGGACGTTGGTTGGCAATTTCGTACCAAATGGAGTCAGTGTGTTTTATTCTACCTTCTGTTTATGGTTTGAAAAGATAGCTCTGAAGTACCTCTGTCTGAGGGCAAAGTGGAGAATTTAAAGATTCAAAAAGGGCAAAAGGGTAAGTTCCACTAACCAAATTGGGTTCATATGCAATCATATATTTTATTAACCATGTTAGGGTTTTCAAATTGCATGTTTTGATCTTCAAAGTTATATTGAAGAATGCATTAATCTATTTTGGAAAGTCAAATCCTAACTGAACTAGGATAGAGAATTTCAATCAATCGAAGGATCAAGCAAAACCCACTGGAGTAATTCCGATCGAGCGAAATTTGCAGGAGGGCAGTTTCCACATTTGATTCAAACTCTATTAACCTTAACTTTTTCAGCCACCAAGGTACATAAATAAGATCCTATGCTTTCAGAAAAACTATGCAAGCACACATCAAGCATATAGAGCCTATATTAGAGCATCATACATCTTTTTGAGGTATAGAGTGCCTTCTAGCAATCACTTTGCTAGATCTTTGTTTAATTCATCACTCATATAGATGTGAGTGTTCATTGTATTGAGACTTATTAATCCTAGAGCTTCAAGGACTTCAACACCACAATCAATCACACACAACTGACAACCAATTAATTGGACACGAATACCCATCAGAGATCAAAGCACGTGTTCAACGATCGCATGAGTAGCGAATTAGTTGATGAGCAGTAACAGCTATCAGAGTGGATTGCATGAGTCTGGGTCAGGGCAGAGGTAACTAGAGAATTTTTGGGTTAGAATCTAGTAACCTAGTTGAAAACTTTCTTCTGATAGTTGATTTGATCTTCCTGGAGTTTTCCATGTAAAAACCGTTATTCATGTGTGTGGATGATTTTTTGTTTTATCTTTTTTCCCTCTACCTATTTTAAAATGCTTCTTTATTGATAATTAAATTGGTAACTAGGGAATGTTGGGGTTATATAAAAATCGTTATGCATGTGTGTGGATGAATTTGTTTATATATATTTTTTCCCTCTACCTATTTTTAAATGCTTCTCGATTGATAATTGAATTTCAATTAATTGCAATACTTTAAAAAAAGTAAATGGTTAAAGTTTGTTATTCCGTATTTAGTATACATGAAATATTCAACTCCCACCCCTCGTCTTCTTCTCTTATAAGTGTAGATCGGATATGCTAACATCAAAGCCCTTAATCCTTTAGGCGCAAATGGTACTATCAAGTATTCAAGTCCTATTTTTTCTCAGTAAGAAATACTACTAGAATGCCATCTGTTCTTTTCATATACAATCATAGGTCTCACGATCTCAGACCTGCATGAAATGATCTTAATTGAACACTCATTATACCATCACCCAGAAGTCACGTTACACAAGCCATCTGCTTGGGGGCAAAAGCTGAGCAACATCATTGCTCAATGGATAATAGCTTCAGTTTTTTGGGTAATACTTTCCATAGTACAATCAATCAGAATAAAGAACAATATGACCATCCACCATTTTATGTATCCTATAGACATTTCTAACGTGAAACAGCAACCCAGGAAAGGGTTAAATTCAAATTTATCCTGGTTCAGATTATATCCTATATTACCTCAGTTGGACAGTTTTATCTTCATAATGCCATCCCTCTGCAGCAGATGCATTTGAATATTCTTCTTCTCCTCCCAGCAACTGTTCTACAGATGTAGCACTTAAGGAGGCAGATGTTTCTTTCATGATTCCTTTGTGGACAGCATATTTGAGGACGTCTTCTCTTAGTATCCTTCCATCTTTACCGGTTCCGCAGACATCACTTATATTTATGTTGTATTCCTTTGCAAGATTCCGAACGGCAGGTGTGGATAGAACTCCAAGATTGTTAGTTTTATTTGGCACTGGATTTGTTTGACTGCTTGAGTCACATATCTCAGAACCCAACGACTTATTATCCAAACTACCATAAATCTCCGTTGGAACTGGAGATTCATTAACAAATATCTTCAGAAGAGTTTCTTCAACCTACAATTTTGGAAAATTTAAAACTTGTTTTAAGATGGAAAGATAGATGATTTTTTCCTGCAATTTTGGTAAATTTGAAAGTTGCTACAAGATGGAAAGATAAAGGATTTTTTTAACTTAATAGTTACGCACAGAAGGACTGAACACCTGTACCTAATATAATATGTTAAAAACCTCGACATGAATAAGATGACGAAAATGCAACATAAGAACCCAAGAAAAGTCTCCAAACTTGTATCCTTTTTATTATGATACCATACCTCTAGAAGCCAGATATAAAGGGGAAAATAATTCAAATGGAAACCATCAGCGTTAGGATGAATACCCGGTTCCCAAGTTACCACCGGCGAAATCCGTGGGAAGTTACCTTAAAATATCAAGGAAACCTCTATACTTTACTTTTTTTTTCTTAGTTGGTACTCACACCCACATGCCTCCGCTGTATACTTTACTTTAAAAAATAATAATAGAAAATAAATAAAAATAAAAAATAATCAAGGAAACCTGCAACCTATATCAATTTTCTACCTGTATACTTAAAAAAAATAATAATAAAAAATAAAAATAAAAATCAAGGAAACCAGCAACCTATATCAATTTTCTAGTCGTTTGGTGTAGCTTGCAAGATCTTTAACACCACCAAACTGATTATCTGCTTCAACATAGTATTTGTTTCTAGGATCAGGTTTCCAGCTGCTTTATCCTTCATCATCTCCCATGCCCATTTCCTAATCTAAATGTTGAATGACCAAACAACAAATCACTATTAGAGAAGTATTATTTGCTGCTTACCTTTACAATGTCACCAGGAACATGTAGAATTTGAGAAACTTTTCCTTCGTAACGACTTGTTATTTCTATGGTTGCTTTGTCACTCTGAACCTCACAAAGTGGTTGAAATTCTTCAACTTGATCCCCCTGCCAGAATACATTATAGACATTAACGTCTGTTGATTCATCAAAACAATAAAAACATCATGCTTTGGGTCATAAGAAGTGTATATCTGTATGTTTGTAAGCATAAAAAGGAGGGCTTTTTAGTGAAAGTTATCGAGCCATAATCAGATTAGCACATTGATCTGAGAACTAAAAAGGTTAAGCTGAGAAGGTCAGGCAACAATGCCAAGCTGATGGACTCGTAGCCTCATAGACTAACAATTGAAGAACAAATAAACAATTCAACCAGGATATTACCGATGCATAAAAGCAAGTATGGTTCAATTATAAATATTTGATACCACCAAGGGTTGTAGGCTAGTGGTATCTCCTATACCTCTCAAAGTGGAATATGAGGGTTCAAGTCCTCACATGAGCAAATGGTTGTGTGAGTATCTTGCCAAGGAAAAATATATATATACTCTCTGATAAAAAAATTTGCTTATTTTTGCAATTTTTTTTCAAAGGTAGAAATTGGTAGATTGATAAATCTATAGATCCTTAGGTGGATAGTTTTGGAAACTAGATCTTAACCATTGATTGTAATGCATGATGCATCTTAGCCATCCATTAGGAAGGAGGATGTCTATATATATGTAGAAGTCTCATTTGTAACAACAAGCTCCAAGCTGCAATAGTGAGTGTGAGAAGTTTCAGACGAAAGCGAGTGCAACAAGCCAGGGGAGGAGGGAAGAGAGCTAGGCCGATTGGAGTTAAGTCACACATATGTTTAGGATGGAGTGTGTAGCAAATAGCTAGATCATGATACAAGTATTCTTACAGTTTTTTTATAAGAGAAGATGATAATGTCAAATGTAATAGCTTAAACGCAAACCAATGCATGAGTTTCTAAAGAAAGTTCAACTTCGACTCTTCGTCATGTTTCAAGGCAAGATTTCTTCCAAAACATAAAAAATGGAGAAAATTGTATCTCAACACCAATCAGGCTTCATGTTTTAAAGGCAAAAAATTAGCACGAAAGGAGAAAACAATAGAAACATAGAGTTAAATAAGTGAAAAATCTGGAAAGGCAAACTACAAGGAAGATAAACAACATTTCAAATTTGAAATTAGAAAACAACGCATCCACAGTTTAGGAAGAAAAAAAAACCCTATAATTTAGCCAAAAGAACACACAAATTCAACCTAAGACTTTATAGCAGGCTATACCACAGGAAAATAGAATAAGGAATTCAAATGCTAAACAAGGAAAACTCACTCACCTCTTGCACAAACCATTTGAGCAGTTCACATTCAGCTATACCTTCACCAGTTTGTGCCAAAGGCACGTCAATTATCTTTCCAACTGGAAGATTGACTGAAGCATGGCTTGAAAAGCAGCGTATCATCGTACCATATGGAAACTTGAACCAGGAAAACCAAGTGAACAAAGGATAAAAATAAGATTAATGGCAAATTAAGGCATTTCACCAGTCCATGTTGAAAGCTTTCAGAGACATTTGTATGTAAGTTCACTAACGTTAATTGGATTGCTCAATGCATGACTATCACACATAACACAAAAGGAACCCAATCAACCGTTTAACCATCCGACTGGCAAGAGCCCAGTTGAGTGGAAGTTGACCAGGCAAAAGCATCGCCAAATATCAGAGCAGAATATGGATAATGAAAAGAACAAAATGAAGAAAAAGTAATAACAAAATTTGAACCCATTCAATAAATAGGTAATAGCCTAATAGGAAAATCTCACACAAAAAGTTTTCTTTCTAGGCAAACATTAGAGGGATTTTTTTTATTTTTTTTAAACATCAAAGGGTAGTTAATGCCATGTATTTCAACCAATACTTGAAACCAAATAGTTGTAGAAAATGTTTAGTTTTCTCTACCACTTTTTGGTGACTACAGTTTTTCTACCTTGGCAAGACTCTGTACATCAGTCATCAAATTGAAAGTTTTTTCAGTAATACTTTCCCATTTAATAAAGGGTAACAGTAAGGAATAATAGTATGGAATCGCTTTCAACTCTACAGTAAGCACCAAATTCTCAATACACCAAGCTAGAGCTCTGAGTCACTCATTTTTCTTGAACTCACCCACACAAACACACGCACAACACACAAACATCATACATTGTCAACTACATCTCTGAATGCATAACATATAGTTTCGTATATCAGCAGTCAGAAACGAATATTAATCAACAAATTGAGCTTAATTAATGACGATAACACTAAAGATACTCACGTCGTTATGCTTATAGGTTGAGGAAAACGATGCCGATGATTGATTACGGAACCCTAGAAGTGGAGGTTTTAACTGATAAACCGCCGCCGTGTGCGGCGGAGTTGAAGAGGAACAAGAGTGCCACCGCCATCCCCGGCCGGAGTTCCAAAGCTTCTTCTGCTGGGAAACCCGCCTGAAAATCATCGTCCGCCACCGTTCGAAGAGGAACGTTGGGAAGTGTGATTCAGCAACACGTAAAATGGATAAGAAGGAACGAAAGCTTGATTGGAGAGTATGGATATTTGATCAAGCCTACTGTCTAGTATGAACTTTTTTTATTCTGAAATAATATAAAAATTAAATTAATTACAGTAATTAATTAATATAATAGTTATTCATGTGGGACATGAATCTTTTGATGCACAGTCATGCACTTGTGTACATTTGCATTTTTTTATTTTTTTTATTTTTTTCTTGGGTAAGGAAGATAACATACATGGGCCACACCCCAGGGCTCAATGGACAAAAAAAAGAAAGGCCAAGAAACCAAAAGAACTGAAAAAGAACCAGGCCCAATTAAAAGCCCATGAAGCCTACACCAGAGTACCAAACCACCTTACGACCAGGTGAGGAACATCAACAATCATGGAAGTTTTATTTTCCCATAATGTGTCCTAATTTTTGGCCTAATTCTTCTTCTATGATCGATTCAACCTCTGATCAAAAAGATATATCTTGGTTATATTTCATCTCTTCAACAAGTTTAATAATGAGCATAACGGCACTATTGTTCTGATGGAGAGAAGAACCTATGATTAGCTTTTCGGGAAATTTCCAAACGAACAATTTCAACGAAATCTTTCAATTTCTTATTTTTACTATGTTCAACTCTATGTATTCCTCTATCCGTAGAGTACATTGAATGTACAAAAATAGCTATAACAGAGTTTTTCTTATTCGTATTAACAACTACTCTAGGAGGAATGTTTTTATGCGGTGCTAACGATTTAATAACTATCTTTGTAGCCCGAGAATGTTTCAGTTTATACTCCTACCTATTATCTGGATATACCAAGAAAGATGTACGGTCTAATGAGGCTACTATGAATTATTTACTCATGGGGAGCTAGAATGGTGATGGAGCCAAACATCCTTGAGCAGTGCTGGGGTATGATGTTGACTATTTTCTCCGTCTTAAAATATATGTTCATTTTTTCTTTTTGGGATGTCTCAAAATACATGTCTCTTTCAAAAAATAAATGTACTATTTTTCATCACATTTCCAAACTACCCCTTTTCCATTTACTTGATTAAAGACAATAAATTTTCAAAACAAAAAAACATGATGTCATGCCCCCACTGTATACACGTCATCACACAAATAATCATTCAAAATTACTGCCACATTACTACCATGAAATAAGTTTAGCACCTTAACTTGTTTAGCACCTGGCAAAAGTAAAAATAAAAAATAAAAATAAAATTGATCCTCTTTAAAACACAACTTCACATTAGCAAAATAATAAAATAAATTCAACACAATATACTTTATTTAAAATAAAAATAAAAAAAATAAAAAATTAAATCACACAACAAAAAAATTATGATCAAAATGTCACCTGATTAGCATAAAAATAAATAAATAAATAAATAAAAATACACAATAGCAATTCTTGAGAAAAAAAGGCAAAAAAATAACAGATTAAATAACACAAAAGCAAAATTTTGATCAAAATGTTTTACCTGATTAGCAAAAAAATAAAAAATTTAAATCACACACCAAAGTCTAATTTTTCTCTTTTCTTCGCCGGATCGAGAACTACTAGCTGTACATATCTTACTGCCCATAAGATTTGGGTTCAACCATGTGGTTATTTAACACCAACCAAACACTCTGTTCTTGAACATAAAAGACTCCATATTGATGGGTGTTTGATACGGAGTAGTATGCTAAATACCAGCTTGTTAAATTACAAACAACTTATGATCAAAACATTTACTCCAAAATCACACAACAACAATACTAGCACACAACAGCAATACTTGATACGGAGTAATCAAAACATTAAGCACCAGATTAACCAAAACAACTATTGTACACAACTGCAAATTTGATTACCAAAAAGTGTTTGATGGTTTTTTGTACAGTACATGGAACCTAACTTATGAACATAGTCCAAAATAAGAGCATTATCTTAGCTTCCTTTCATTAGGACTGATCTATATATATTGACAAAATAACAGAGCAAAACAGAGCATTGTTTTCTTGATATATACTGTATTTCCTTGGCTTCTTCAACTATACAGGCATCTTCATTGGGACAAAATCATTTAGCAAAACACCACCCTTTTTATAATCTATTTGTCATTAGCTTCTTCAACTATAGGTGTATCATCACTTGACAAAATCACATAGCCAACCAAAGCACCTATAAAAATATAAGTCAACATGGCAAAATGAATGATAAAACAAACTAAGAAGGAAAACTTACCGCTATAATAAATTTTATATAGAACGTTGTAGAAAAATAGACTCACCTTGGTTTTCAAAAGTGTACTCATTGTTGTAGATGGAGAAGAACTTTCTCAAAAACTTTAGGATCACAATGCAACTGAGAAGGAAGATTACCATTTCTCTTTAATTGATCTTTTCCCATGTGTGGTAGTTTGTAATTATTTCCTCCATAAACCTTCATAGTCTCAATCATGCATTCTTGCAATGTTAAGAAAACACAATTGAGGGTTTCCGTTACTAATTCATTGAAAAAAATTTCTACTGCATCAATCAACTCAGCAATTGTAGTGGGAGCTTGTTGGTGTTGTAGGGATTGAATTGCCCGAAAATATCCAAGATCTAAAACATTCATATCCGGGTTATTCGGAGGTTGAAAACACAAACGAATATCAAACCCATCCTTACACGCAGCTTCTAAAAATTCTGAATCTCGTGGATCAATGTGGGGTCTTGCATTGTCTTGTTGAATGAATATTGTCTCTGTCATACTAGAACATAGCCATCTTTTTCGAATTGCTGGTAAGACTTTTTCAATTAAGCATGATCGAATGACATCTTTAGTTACCGACAATATCAGCTTTGTCTCCAATGTTTCAGCCATACGATTCTTGCTATTTCGTTTAGCAGGCTTCTTGTATGTAAACTGAAATATTCCAATCTTCCCACTGAACTCCTTATTCCGATGCATATCAAATCGCAGTCGAGCAACTGCTGCTAGAAACATAACTTTGGTGATGAATCTTTTGTTTCTACAGGTACATAATGGTTCAACTTCTTCAGGGAGAAGATAATACTTCTCTGCTTCTTTAGACATGAAAAACCATTTTTCATCAATATGCACAAAGTTATACATATTACAAAAAATTGGTCTGCTAGCAAGAGTATATGACTCAAGTATTGACAAACAGAATAACAACCTTTCCTTCGTATTCTCATCAGTGAGATGAGGCTTTACTGCATTTGAATGTCGTCTAATTACACCTTCTTGAATTCGCCGATGAAGTGTCAATTTAGCAACTTCCATAGCCACCGATAATGAACGAATGTTTGTACGCCGGCGAAGAGGAATTTCTGAGACTTTAGTGAGGTTAATTTGCAACCGTTTGTGAACAAATCTTCTTGCTCTTCTATCGGACACATCAATTGCGAGACCAGTTGAAAAACATGATACTGCTTGCTTCCAAATTCGGCTAATTGTTTTAACGTTTATAGAGAATAATTCAGCCGTGGAATTTATCGAGCCCTTTCTCAGTGAACCATTCACACTTTACCTCAGCAACGTTTCCACAATAGCTTAACAATCCTGATTGGTTAAATGTTTTTTTGACTTTCGCTGGTCGGAACATGCCTCTGGCAAGGCTTCCATTTAAAATTAGAAACCTTGGAGTGGTAGAGAAGTACTGTAACAAAATAGATAAGTATTGCAGAGTTTGTGGGATTCTAGTATGTTAAGGAGTTTGTTGGAGAGAGGAGTTTGTGGAAGAGAGTACCAAAACAGTGAGGTAATAGTGGAGAAAAGAATTTGTTTTAAAGTTAAATTTTGAATTGATAGGATGCTTCAAAATTTACCGTGAACAGAGTTTTGCTGAAATTGATGAAAGAAATTCATTTGGCGCCAAACTAAATTCTGTTTTAAAATTTTACTAAATCTCTGCATTGTAAAAACTTCAATGGTTACTACTGTAATACTATATTTTTCACAAGGGTAAAAATGGAACTTCACTTATTCTTTATACAATAAAAAACACTCTCATAAAAAGTTGGAATCCCAATACATCCCAACTTTTGTGGGATGGAGGGAGTATGAAAATGGAGCCATTTCTTTTATCAACGGATGTTACTACTCAAAGTGATCAAATTGGGTGGGCATCTTGGGAATTTGTATAATTCCGAATCCTCACAATCTTTTGCCACTCAATTAGCCTTGTTTGTGGGCGTTCATACTCCCACCTTCACTAACACCCTTTAACGCTTTAAGTTTTATTAACCTAGCTGGGTGTGTCTAGTTTTGGAAGGTTAACGTTTTTGGCATTACTGTGGTTTATGTGTTTATCGGTAGATCTTTGTTCTTTCCTTTGTAGATGCCGTATGGCGGGTTTTTTTGCCAAGTTAAAAAAAAAATAAATAAAAGAGCTTGTATGGTTTGGGGGGCAAAATTGATCGACGCCCTCTATATAGTCCTATTTTACAAAGATTCGTACTATTACGAGTGATATATTTTGACACACATCAGATCTACAAGCTAGAAAGTTTAACTTTTGAATTATGCTTTCAACTTATGCGTCTAGATTTTCTGTTATAAGAGTTATTCTTTACCTTTGCTATCGCAGCTTGGCAATCACAATAGATAGTTATTGTTGGAATTACTTGTGGCCAAAGTGGTATATCAACTAGAAAACTCCTTAAATATTGAACTCCTTCACGTGTTTTATCTAAAACAATAAAGCACACACACCTTTTAGGTAACATTGTACGGTTGTAAACGTTTACCCACAATATTCAACAGTATTCAATCATCAGAAGGCAGCATCCCAAATTTGATGAATCCACTTATACACAATAACTTATATCCACTTAAAAGCTAAATATTATATATAAAAAGTATAAATTACTTTGCAAAAGAATTTTGTAAGCAGTAGCCTTGAAATAAAAAGAATAGGCTTCGACCCTTAAAGTATATGGCGCGCTCTCTCTTTCTCGCTATATATATATATATGCGTGTATTTCAATGTAGGACATTATCTTAAACTTCATTAATTTATTGTTTAGACGATAGTATTATTTCAGCTTTGAGTTTTAATTGGGGCTCCATGTTTTACGAATTCCTGAGTTGTACTTTGGAGGATTTTATTTATGATTACTTATGGAGGATCATTATTATGAGAGTATTTCTTAGAGATTGTTATCAAAGGAGTTTATTTTTTTTATTATTTAGATTTCCTTTCAGAGTATAATTATTTCTTCTTATTTCATTTTGTAATCCGTGCTTGTTTTAAATATTAATTGTTTTGATATCCCTAGGTCTTCGGGTGTGTGCCTGGCTAACCTACACGTGAAAATTTAGGGGTATCATAAATGAACAAGAGAAATAATTGCTTGAGTAAATGCTCTTGAATGCTCTTTCAAATGTTCGCTCTAAGATGGATCTTACCTTATTTAATGCATACTCTTATATAAAGTCGTTTGACTGTTGAAAGTAGATGAGAGGCATTAATTATAGAAATATGGCTGTTGATGATAAGTGACAAGTATTTAATGTGATTCCAGTCGTTAAAAGTATTTATAGGTAAACAAATAACCTGTTACATGGCTTGATCTACTCGATCAGATGAGATCCAGATCTTATCTGATCGGTTAAATACTTCTCTATGATCGATTACATGAAGATGAATACAAAAGACATTCTCTACATTAGTTCATCTGATCGATTACTTGGTGCGAACTAACCTGTTACTTTATGTGATCTGATCAGTTACATGATGTGATGTAATCGGTTACATAATGCTTTGTAGAACAACTTGTTCTCTGTTTTGATACATCTGATCGATTACTTTATGTAATCTAGTTGATTACTTCATGTGATATGATCGGTTACATGTGGTGATCTTATTGGTTACGTCATGCTTTATAGGGAAACCATGTTCTTTATCTCCGACCGATTAGATTTTTCTATCTAACCGGTTACGTGGTGTCTATAGAGAGATATGTTTTCTATCTCATGCATCTAATCGGTTAAATCATTTCATCTAACCCGTTACATGAACTGTAAGTTAGATTTTCTTAAGTGAAAAGTCTTAAATGCCCTTAGAGATGCTTTTTAGGAATGAATGCATTAATCTATAGATATGAGTTTCAAATGGGTTCATAAATTACTTTGACATTGAATCCTAAACACTAACCAAGCTATCCACCCCTTTCTTCAAGCTTTGTCCATAATCATTTCAATCTTCAAGGTAATATTGATTTCTTCTTTAAAGTTGCTTGCATCTTGTTTCTTTATACATTTTTGTACAATTTTGCTCTTCAGATATATGATCTTTAATCTGCATACTCATTGTAAACATTAGTCTGAGAACCACATTAATGGTCTGTAATCATTAAAATCATTAGATTGTCGTTGGATGAAACCTTTAGGTCAACAGATATATATGATAAGTTATGTATGGGCAAATGTGTCTTTGTAGATTTAAACCTTACTTAGGGTAGGCATGTTGGAATATTCATTAGCTGCCCAGTTAGTTTGATGTCTTGAATTGTTCAGCTTTATGATGTGAATTTGTGTAATATACTACACACATAAATCTTTATAGTGCTATTGATTCTTATAGTTTTGCACTTTTTTCGGCCATGAGCTATACCATGCTTTCATGAGGGCTCTACAGAATTTGCCTTAAATTCTAATAGAAAGCGACCCCACTTCCACACTCATATAATTAATTCTATTAAGAATGTCTTGCTACATTCCACTTGATAATTAAGCTATAGACTTATTAAGAGAAAAACTTAACCTATTGTGTATTAATGCAGAGGGATATCTTGCAACCAATTTACCAAGTGGTTTACACGAACCGCTTATAACTGGTTTTCCTATTGAACCTAGATCTTGGATTCCTCCGATCACATTAGCTGGTTTCCATTATGTTGGTTGATTAACCAATAGGTTGTAAGCCATCCCTCTTGATGTTAAATAAACATTTTATCTCGGTAAACTCTTGGTTAGTGGATCCACAAGCTAGATAGTTTAACTTCAAGAAGTCGTTGGTTATAATACCACAATTTAAGAAGAGTTGTGTTGTTGAATTATGCTTTCAACTTATGCGTCTAGATTTTCTATTATAAGAGTTATTTCATTGCCTTTTCTATCGTAGCTTGGCAGTCACAATGGATAGTTATCATTGGAACTGGTTGTGGCCAAAGTGGTATATCAACTAGAAAACTCCTTAAATATTGAACTTTTTTACATGTTTTATCTAAAACAATAAAACACACACTTCTTTTAGGTAACATTGTACGGTTGTAAACGTTTAGCCACAAGATTCAATAGTATTCAATCGTCAGAAGGCAGCACCCCAAATTTGATGAATCCAGCAAATCAACAGTAACTTGTATCCACTTAAAAGCTAAATACTATATATAAAAAGTATAGATAAATTTGCGAAAGAATTTTATAGGCAGTAGGCTTGAAACAAAAGAATAGGCTTCGATCCTTAAAGTATATAGCGCGCTCTCTCTCTCTTTCTATATATATATATATATATGTATTTTCAATGTAGGACATTATCTTAAACTTCATTTATTTATTGTTTAGACGATATTATTATTTCAATGTTAGGTTTTAATTTAGGTTCCATGTTTTACGAATACCTGAGTTGTACCTTATTTAACGAATTCCTGAGTTGTACTTTGAATGATTTTATTTATGGTTACTTATGGAGGATCATTATTATGAGAGTATTTCTTGGAGATTATTATCAGAGGAGTTTATTTTTTTATTATTTAGTTTTCCTTTCAAAGTATAATTATTTATTCTTATTTCATTTTGTAATCCGTGCTTGTTTTAAATATTAATTGTTTTGATATCCTCGGGTCTTCGGGTGTGGGTTTGACCAACTTACATGTGAAAATTTGGGGTGTTACAAATGAACAAGAGAATAATTACTTGAGTAAATGCTCTTGAATGCTCTTTCAAATGTTCTCTCTAAGATGGATCTTACCTTATTTAATGCATACTCTTATATAGAGTCTTTTGACTATTGAAGGTAGAAGAGAGGCATTAATTACAGAAATATAGCTGTTAAAGATAAGTGACAAGTATTTAATGTGATTTCAGTTGTTAAAAGTATTTATAGGTAAACAAATAACCTGTTACATGGCTTGATCTACTAGATCAGATGAGATCCAAATCTCATCTGATCGGTTAAATACTTCTCTATGATCGATTACATGAAGATGAATGCAAAAGACATTCTCTACGTTAGTTCATTTGATCGATTACTTGGTGTGAACTAACCAGTTACTTCATGTGATCTGATCGGTTACATGATGTGATGTAATCGGTTACATAATGCTTTGTAGAACAAATTGTTCTCTATTTTAATACATCTGGTCGATTACTTTATGTAATCTAGTTGATTACTTCATGTGATCTGATCGGTTACGTCATGCTTTGCAGGGAAACCATGTTCTTTGT